TCCTCCAGGAAGTAACAATGCCCCTAACCTGCTATTGCTTCACACTGAGTACCCTCTTTCACTACTCCCTCCACTTGCTCCTCCCACTGGGTCCAGCCTTGCTTACCAAGCAGGGCCCAAGTAAGGCCTTTTTCCACAACAGTACTGATGCCAGAGTCTGTGGGTATGTGGCTGATTACATGCTATCCAATGAGAAGACAGGTGAAACACTCATGGACCCATACGCCAGCGGGTTGGTGAATAATACCTACCAATTATTCATCTGTGGTAGTGCAATGGTTAAGTGCTAGGTGCTAACTGAAAGGTCAGCAGTTCTAACCCACTCAGCAGCTCTGCAGGAGGAAGACCTGGAGATCTGCTTCCATAGATGTTGTTGTTGGTAAGTGCCATCGAAGTGATTCCAACCCATATCAACATTGTATAGGATTTCCGAGGCACAGCTGGTGAGCTTGAACCTCCAAACTTGCAGTTCAAACAGGTTTGCAGTCTAGCACATCAACTCACAGTGCCACACCAGGACTCTTTCCATAAGGATTACAGTCTAGGAAACCACCTACCTATATGACAGAGGACAGTTCTTGGTCGTGTGGGGTCACTGAGTCAGAAATCAACTTGATGGTGGTAGGTACTGTAAGAACAGTTCAGATAAAACACAGTAAGCTCAAAATAAGGGAACATATTACTTAATGTTTGGGGGCAAGAGATGGAGAGTATCAGAGACGATCAGTGCTGGCAAGGATGAAAGATAGTCAATTTTTGGGGTTTTTTTCCTGACAGGATAGTAAAAATACAGTTTTTATATACTATGTACATACAGTCTCTGTTATAACTACTTAGTTTTATTTACCATTGTAGCAGAGAAGCTGTGACAGATAATACATAAACAAATATGCATGACTAGATGAACTGCAAGGTCGGCAGTTCAAGCTCACCAGCTGCTCCTTAGAAACCCTATATGGGTCGTATGCATCGGAACTGACTCGACAGCACTTAACAACAACAACATAGTCTAATAAGACATAATTTACAAAAAAAGGTAATAGGCCATCTTTGGCCCACAGGCCAGTTTTACCAACCCCTACACTAAGTGGTCAAGTCTCTACTTTGAATGGTAGGTTGTATCTCAGCTTCCTTTTAAGTCCAAGATTCTTGTCGTTCTGTGTCTTACCAACACCAATTTAAGTGGATCTTGAACAAAACTGATTAGTTGTCATTGTCATTAGCCAAGGGTTTGGGTAACAAATAGTAGCTATTTTCTCATACTCTAAGTGATTCGCTAAGGACCTCTGATAGTGTATTGGTTACGAGTTGGGCTACTAATCTCAAGATCAACAATTTGAAACTAGTTACTAGCGGTTCTTTGAGAGAAAGATGAGGCTTTCTGCTCCTGTGAAGATTTACAGCCTCATAAAACCTATACAAGGTCACTATGAGCCGGAATCCACTCCACGGCACAAAACCACCACAACTGATTCTCTAAAAGGAAACAAATATAAGACCTTTACCAAAGCAAAGCACTGGAAAACTTCTAAACTCCAAAGATACATTATCTGCAGACCTTCTGAAATAAGGATCACATACAGAACACCAGGAATCAAAATGACATCAGACTTCAACAGCAATACTGTTGAGAATGGAAAGACCTTGGTATAGAGGAGGGCAGTTCCACCTTCAAAAAGATCTAGTTAACATACCTTTTTCTGTTCTGTTCACCAGCATTATATATGAAACATACATAGTGCTTTATATTGTATGTCACACCTGGTATGGTAGTATAGGATAAGCGCTGGACTGCTAAACAAAAGTTTAGTGGTTCAAACTCACCAGCCTCTCTTCAGAAACCCTATATACAGAGTCACTGTGCCATTGGAACCAACTTAATGGTACTTAACAATAATAACATTGTATCTGAAATGAACATGTTGATGGTTATTATGTGCCATCAAGTCAGTTCCGATTCATAGCAGCCTAACACACAACAGAGCAAAACACAGCCCGATCCTGTGCTTTCCTCACAGTTATTATGTTTGAGCCTTTTGCTGCTACCACTGTGTTAATCCATCTCCTTGAGAGTCCTCCTCGTTTTCACTTACCCTCTGCTTTGCCAAGCATGATGTCCTTATACAGGGATTGTTCTTTCCTGACATGCCCAACGTACAAGATATGAAGTCTTACCCTCCTTGCTTCTAAGGCTACATTTCTTCCAAGACAGATTTGTTTTCTCTTCTGATAAATCCATGGTATTTTCAACATTCTTTGCTAATACCTTAGTTCAAATGCATCATTTCTTCTTCAGTCTTCCTTATTCATCGTCCACCTTTCACATGTTTATAAAGCCATTTGAAATTATCACCATTTGGGTCAGGTGCCCCTTAGTCCTCAAAGTGACATTTTTTTCTCTTTAATACTCTAAAGAAGTCTCTTTACAGCAAATTTGTAAAATGTATCATATCATTTGATTTCTTGATGCTGCTTCTTTGAACGTTGATTATTGAACAAAGTAAAATTAAGTTTTTTACTTCAGTCTTTTCTTCATTTATCATGACATATTTATTGGTCCAGTTGTGAGGTTTTTGTTTTGTTTTTACTTCTTTACATTGAAGCACATTCCATACTGAAGGCTTTGGTCTTTGGCCTTCATCAGTTAAGTATCTTAAGTCCTCTTCACTTCCAGCAAGCAAGGTTGTATCATCTGCATATTGCAGGTTGTTAATGAGTCTTCTTCCAATTCAAGTGCCTTCTTCATATAATACAATTTCTTCTGTAATTTTCTCAGTATACATATTGATATATATTAGGTAAGTTGTGAAAGGATACAACTCTGACACACCTTTCTTGATATTAATCCATTAAGACATTCAGCACCCCCTTGTTCTACTTGATCTACTGGTACATAGACCTCTTGGTCTATGTTCAGGTTCCTCATGAGCACAATTAATGTTCTAAAACTACCATTTTTCACAATGTTATCCATAGCTTGCCATGATCCACACATTCAAATGCCTTTGCATAATCAATGAAGTACAAGTAAACATTTTCCTGGTATTCTCTGCTTTTAGCCAAGATCCATCTGATACTATGATGTCAGCAGAGGCCACATGGAGAGCAGTAATTAGGCATTCAGGTGGTATCAACAGAGCACTTGTGGGAGACTAAACACCCCACCTTCACTCAGGTATCAGTGGAGCCCATGTGGGGAACGTGGACTTCTACACATCACCTGATAGTACTGAGGTGGCCATCTTCCTTTCCCCGGTCTAAGCAGTGTCAGGAATACAGCAAAAAACTTGCTGATTTAAATAAGATGCAGAGTTTCACAGCATAACACCTAAAATTAATGTATTCAGTTGAAAACCATTTGTCATGCAAAGAACCAGGGCAATCTCAGTTTGGATGAGAAAATACAGTCAACATATGTCAATACTGACATGACATATGATAGAAATGTCTGACAAGGATTTAAAGTAGCCATCATAAAAAATACTTCAAAAAGAGATTATGAGCATAATGAAAAATCGAAGTATTCGCAAATGTTCTATTGAGATACTCATTGACTGTGAGATGAGAGAGAGAGAAAAGGCGTGGCTGGTATAAAGATTAGGGAACTGTGTGAACTCCCAAGTCCACAGGCACTGACCTAACCTCTGGGGGCTAGAGCTGAGAGTGAAGCAACTTACTGGTCTGAAGTGCAGGAGGCATGTGCGAACTCCCAAACTTGCAGCTAGTACCCATTTGACCTAGCTTGGATGACTAGCTGACCAGAACTTGACCAGATGACGTTAAAGATGCTTGGTGCAGTGAGAAAGTGTAAACTGGTATAATTTCATGAAGTGGACCTTTGCTTATAGATGCAGTTGCGCTAAACTCCAACCAGAATGGAAGCATTTTTCATATCAAGGAACGAGCTTGTTTCTTCAGTGATAACTAATGTCTGCATTGCCCATCCCTATCAGAAATGGGAGGCTATAAAGGCACAAAGTGGCTGACATACTAGCTTTCATGAGTGTGCTTAGTTTCAAAATGTGGTGGGTAGGGTAGAATCCCCACTTAATAGTTATCCCTCTTCTCCAGATAAAACTGGTAAAGGGATGGAGAATTATACTGATAGGATTTTGATGATTCTATTGTGAGTAATTGTTAGCAGGATTGATTGTCATTGTCACAACTTTAATTGGGAGAGTAGTTAATCTTTCATTTCAGGAACAGACAATCCCAGGACCATGAAGAAGGAATAGCATCAGTGGAGCATGAGAGCCTACTTTGAAAAGTGGAGGCAGAGGTGATGGCATGGAGAGATAGAGCTCTAGGCCCATGGACTGAGTA